CCGCCCTACAACAGTAAAAGAAATTTCATACCGGAATTTCGTCGAAGTTTTAGGAAACAAAAAATGAATAATAGAAGGCGTTTACAATTTTTTGCCTGTTTCGTGGAAGATATATCATTTCAGGATTTCTGTTGGCTATTCTGAAGAGTAAGAGGCGCGCTGGCCTAATGGTTAGTGCGCTTGTCTCCGGATCGAGGGGTCCTGGTTCGAGCCCTGGCCGGGAGACATTGTACTGTGTTCTTGGGCAAGACACTTTGCTTTCACAGTACCTCTCTCTACCCAGGTGTATAAATGAGTACCGGTGAATTTAAGGCCATTTAATGCTGAGGGTAGCATGCGATGGACTAGCATCCCATCCATGGGAAGGAGAAATACTCCTAGTCGCTTCTTGCTGCAGAAACCGGAGACATGCGCCGGCCAGATTGGCCACTTGGCACCTGCCTTACATTCTAACGAGTGTCAGAACCATTTTGAATCGTATTGTTTGCGAGACATGTTGACTCACTTACCTTCATTATAGGAGATACCAAACTGTACGGAAGAGATTCGGCATCAGTTTTCTCTGATGTGAAAACTATCAACACATTCTCCACCTCCGGGCGATCCACGCATCCCTTGGGACAGAACAGCTTCTGCGAGGCGTACAACATGGCTAGATCGGTACGGTGTCCCCCAGGGGTATATTTCAGGCCCTCGATAATCGATTTTACTTTGATTCGATCTACATTCTGCAGGGACATGACAAGATCAGGTTTGTCGCTGTAGACGATGATTCCAAAATGAACGTTGCTGAATTGCTTGTTGATCGAGATGACCAACCGTGAGATAAAAGATTTTAGGCGCTCGAACTCGTCAGCGGTTACACCAGAGGAACTGTCAATCAAAATTCCTACGTCCATGCCTTTTCTTTTGACCTCTGTTGTAGGTAGGGGTGGAGTCACAGTGGAACTTTCAGCTTCTGCGACTTTAAAACACAAAACATTTAGTTAGTTCTTTTTGCAAAATCCAGTATACCTACTCTCTCTCTCTCTCTCTCTCTCTCTCTCTCTCTCTCTCTCTCTCTCTCTCTCTCTCTCTCTGGTCTCTAGCTAGATGCATATCCGCCTGTTTCTTTGCCACCAGTTAAAATTTTTTCTTTCATATATATTTGAATTGCTTTTCAATTTTTTCAGGCTTCTTTGCAATTCAGATCAATATATATATTGAAATAACTCCGTCGAATTACTGATTTCTTCAATTCAGTTTTTAGACTCTATCCGCAGTTCGTAAATAGCATCAATTGTTCATCAATTTGCACAAGTTTGTTAACATTATTTCTTATACCTGCTGGGAACGGCGCTCGGGGAGAGTTTTCTGCAAGAAAAGAACGAAACATTTCAAATATATCATTAAGACGCAATTATGACATTTTGGCTTATTTTCGTTAATTCCTTGTCGTTTTTCAAACTTAATAAGATGTCAAGTTCCTCGGCAAGTGTTACCTTGAAAACCAACGGAGCGAAACACTACAGTGGCACGAACGCGAACTAAACTCATAGTGGTGAATTCTATGCACACACGTTAAAAAAGTAAACTACTGAGTAAACAAAAGCAAAGCTGAAAAGATAATGACAATAATTAATATCGTAAACTTCATTCTTAAGCTGAAGGTACAGTATTGATAGTGTTTTAGATACTACAAGTAGTTCTGATTTGCGGCGTAACTGACTAGCTAGCTATATATGTCAAATACACGACATAACCTCGTTGCAGAATGCGTACCTCTTCCATACAATTCAACTCTCATACACATCCATCCCTCATATTGCAATGGGAAGATACGAACGTATGTAGCTTCTACAGGAACTGGTAATACTTGCTTGGAAATTGACTTAGAGTCCTTGTTGCCCTCGAACACCTGATAAATGGTTTGGAAAGAAAAATAAAAATACAACACGATGCTATATATGTTGTATTGATAGCGTTAATGCGAACTACTTTACAACAATATTAACAGCTCTCTATTATAAATATATCGAATTACTCTGTCATCAGTTTGATTGCTTCTTTATAGTAATCAATTGTAGGACGCTTAGTTAGCCTCATTAACAATTTTTTATTTGTTTTTTAGTATATAAAACAAGCAGACTATAGACTCCATGTTACCGTGCGTCTTTTTAGTAATAGATCAATGAAGACGTCAAAATGTGGTAAGAACACTGTTCAGTGACACTTTCTCCCAACGGTTCGTGTGCCACGTTTTTGCTCTTACCTCATTCTGACGTCATCTGTGATCTATTACTGAACAGAAGCACGGCAACATGGACTGAATCAGTAGGTTCTTTTTACAAGTTACCACGGTCTGCCATAGTTTTCTGGAGAAAAAAGTACATGGCTTGTCGGCCTTGTTTCCGACACGTGTCAATTCATCTGATCAAGTAACCTTACATACCAAGAAAGTCCTCACAAATTCCAAGCAAATTACAGATCGCGGTGAAATTCTGTTATCTATGCCATGCATAAATTAAGTTGCTTCACTTTTTTACGGTAAGGTGTTATCATCATTATCGTCACCATTATAATCTCCACCACCAGTAACAAACATTTAACACAAAATACCTTTATTTTTCCAGGCCCGTCCTCTATTTCTTTCCACAGACTGCCATCCTCAGAGTGCTTCACATGAAACTCTGTAACATATTCGTCACCTTCGCTGTAGCCATTCCCTTGGATGGCAATAGCACAAATTGATTCCGCTTCCGGTACATGAATTTGTAGGTATTCTTCGCCAGCAGTATCTCCAAGGGAACACCAGGCCAGCGGTCCATTCAATCGGCCTTTAGAGGGTTCCAACTCACTGTAAAACGAGGAGGCTGTGAAATTCACGCTTGACAATTTTCCTCCTTCTGCAGCGCCGAGGGCGTTTTCGTCACATGGAGTTTCTTAAATAGAACCAAGTTTGATTAAAAATGTTTCTATGCAAGTGAATCGAATGGACGTCACATGACATAGAGCCATCTTTGCTGACGTCATTGTTAACATTTCTCGTCATTTGACATACGACTTTGCGCAGAGCGCATGGGTATCATGTCGGAGACGAATTGACTCCAAACATGTAGAGAGCTTTTAAGACTTAGTCCTTTGTCTCACTGGATGAAATATTCAAAGACAAACTGACTTTCAAAACCTGCAAAATGTTTAGCGTTATTTAGTTCTTATATTTTAAAAACCATTTTCCATTGATTCCTCTACATAGTAGGTGGCATAAATTAGGTGGTTTGATAAAAGGATTGATTTCATATCAAAAATTGATTGCGCTTTCGCCCGGGCCAAAACAAAAAGCTCTACACTAACAAGGAGTTCAGATCATCTGAGTTGTTTATGGTTCAACTTATCTACATGGGAAAACCGCTAACAAAAACAAAGTGGACTGACAAAGAAAGATATTATTCATATTTTTTGCAAGATTCTCAGAGGGCCACAACTTCATTGGTTACCCTCTTTAAATTAAGTTTGATTAATGGATTGATTGAAGGTAAGGTCACAAAATTTAAAAGAGCAATTTCATATTCCATTTATTTCGTACCTGTTGGTGCCTCGGTGGTGGGGTCTACAATTTCTGGAGCAATCCTACCTACATGAAATAAAACAAAAGAATAGACCATTTTACAGTTGTCTGCTCAGTGATCTGGCCTTTGAATGGCAGCGTGGCTTGAGGTGACCTTTTTTTGATACAGACCTCTCTGTTTTTGTTGTGTAAATCAAGTTGTTCTAATTCTAGCTGTGCATTAACATGACAAAAGCAGAGAAGTCTGTATCAAAGCAAGGTCACCTCCAGCCTCGCCGCCATTTAAAGGCCAGGTCCTCAAGCAGACAACTGTAAAATGATCGATTGCTCACAAAGCTGTAGCTGATCTTAAACCTCGCTTAAATTTCGGCATAAGCTTAAATTTCTTAATCTAATAAATCACATCGTGTCCAATTAATTTTGTATGTTGTCTGATAACTGGCCACATTCAATGACTGGCACAATGTTCCCAAATATCACAGCTACCTCGATCACACTGACTCGGACTGGAGCCAGGTCTGTTGCTATGACAACACTTGACCTAAGTCTCGTTTACAAAACTTGGCAGCTTCTCTAGTTTCCTTCTGGGAATCACTCCCTTCATCTTTTGTTGTTGTTGTTGTTAGTGTCTTTTTCTTTTATTTTGGTAGTTTCTTTTTAATTGTCTTCTTGCAAGTGTCCTAATGGGAAAATTCACAGCCTTGTAAATTGAAACTGAGGCTTTTTACATGGAATTTACCTAGTCCGACGCAAATATCATACAGTTACTTTTATTGTTTGGCTTACCTGTGACAGGGCCATTTGGTTCTAAAATAAAATAATAATAATAATAATAATGATAATCAATATAGTATTTTTATGCATTATTTTTATCATTAGCGGGTGTTATCAACACAGCTCGTCATCGCTTAAACGTCATGCAGTAAGCTTTTCTTCCATTTGAATTAAATTATTCAAGTTGTTTTAGCCATTTATTCATTATTTCAAAATTAAGTCGACATAGTCCATCAATGGACCTTTTCGGCGATACGGCTGCAATCTTGAATTCTATTATTTCAAATAGCTATTATGGGATGTTTAGGGGGCAAATTAGTATGCGACCCATCCTCTCCAAACATGAAATAATGTATGGTGTTTTAAATTCATTTTGTTTAACCCTAAACCACCTTATTTTCATTGGCAAATAGTTTCTCTACATTTGTTTCCTTAATAGTAGGAGATACCAATTTGTGGATTTCACCACCCTTGCGCAGGAAAAATTAGAGCTTGAAAAATATATCGCGATCTCAGCCAACAAATACAGTTCCTTCCTTAAGAAATGGTCTTGCTTTGTTCAAAAATAATTTGTTTTAAATAATTCTAATCTGGTCATAAAGGCCGATCAACCAACAACTTTTGTTCCAAGAACATCTATGATGTTGCCTCTTCCTGTATTAAAAGAAAAGCGGAAGAAAACCGGCAGGGCTTTCTCCGCTTTATTTAAACTTTCTCTCTTTTTGTTTGTTTGTTTCTCCTTTTTTTATTATTATGTAAGTGCGTAAGTTTAATCAGCAGTATTGTAAGTAATTTTTAGCGTTTTTCCGTTGGTAGTAATTGAAAGTAAGGAAGCAGT